TAGCATGTGAGAAATGGACATCCCAAAGGCTTTTGTTTTCAGATCTAGAACCATTAAGGGCTATTATGGCAAAAAGGTGCAATCTTTATGCCATAGGAGTGCCCATAAAAGCATTAGAGTGTTCTTTTAGCCTTTTTAGCTCAAAGGGCCATGTATGGAGGGAAAAGACTGGAGATTTCAATGGTTATGAGATGTTTGGGTCCAGATATATGTTTAGATGCATTAGTATGGTGTATTGGTGACTTGTGGACCATGATCTAGGTCCTTAAGAGTTAGGGTTGGAGTGAAATCCTTCAAGTAAGGGTATTTTTAGGTAAAGTTGGAAACTTTCCCCTTCTAAGGTCATTTCAAGGGTGTATTCGAAGTTTGAAGTTGGAATCTGAAGTATAAGGGCTTAACCCATTAAGTTAGCTCATCAGACTAAGGGACTCGGTGAGTCTACGAAGGAATTCGACGAACTGAGGTGGTTTGTCCCGATTCTATATGGATGAACTTGACGAGCCCGAGGAGTGACTCGGCGAGTTGATGGGATGATTCGAGACCATGAGTAGCCAGGAAACTCGACGAATAAGGGATTGACTAGACGATTTGGGTGGCGAATTCAGGATTTCGAGTTTTGGAACTCGACGACTTGATGGAGCAACTCAGTGAGTTGAGTCAACTTGGTGTGTTGACTTTGATCATTGACTTTGACCTTGTCCAAAGTTGACCCAACTTGACCTTTGAGGGTATTATGGTCTAAGTGTTATTTTGGTATTGATAGTTCGGGGAGTCGAAGGATCAACAGTTCGGGAATTGCCAGCAGCAGTTTGAAGTGTATCAACCAGGCTTCATCAGTGCGAGGTGAGTCTCCTCACTGTGTGTATGAGTCGAAGGCACCAATTCCGGCCCATTTGGTTCATGTATAATAGGAAACCCAGGGGTTAGCCCTAGGCAATATGTATGAAATACCAGGAGGTGGCTCCTTGCACCCTCTATGTTATTATGTATTGTAGGAAGACCCTGGGGATTAGCACTAAGTATTATGTATGAAAGAGCAGGAGGTGGCTCCTAGCACAATGTATGCTATTATGTATGAAAGAGCGGGAGGTGGCTCCTGGCACACTGTATGCTAAATGGCTAAGTAGAGTAGTGTGTATTCTAGTTTTGTTTGTGATCCTTGCATGGAAGACCAGGAGGTGGCTCTTGGCACTTGTCTGTAAGACCGAAGGGGTGGCCCCAGGCTTGGCAAGAAAGAGCATGTGGTGGCCCGTGGCATAATGGCAAGAGTATGTTCAGCACATAGCAACTTATTTTATATATGACATATATGTATGACTCATAATATGTATGGATTAGTGGATATGTATGGTATGTAGTATTTGCGGAACTCATTAAGCTTCGTGCTTACGGTTTTCAGTTTTGGTTTCGGGTACTTAAGTTTTCAAGAATGGAGCTCGTAGCGGTCGCCACGCATCACCTAATGTTTTCTGCACGAGATGTTTTTATACTTATGGTTTTATAATAACTTATTTAAAAGTAAAATTTTCGGCCTTGAATTTTAGGATGTTACAAGTTGATATCAGAGCCTTGGTTTGAGGGATTCGGACATAAGTCAGGTGTGTCTGAACTTAAGCTGAGGACTTGGTATGAAAATTTTCAAAAGAAAAATCATTTTCTAAAAAGAATTTTGAGAAGAATTTGAAATGAGAAAAAGAACTTTGAAAAGAATAAGGTGTGTGATGCGTGAAATCGACCCAACTCAAGTAAGTAGTTCCCAAAATACCAATACATGTCTGTTATGTGATACGATATGATTATGTGGTTCGCATGCTAGATTATGGCTAAGGATCTAGGAAAGATGCATTTGTATGCTTATGTGAGCTTGTAGATTTTCATGCTAGAACTAATCAGTCAGTGATAGGATATTATGTTTAGGTTCTGCCAGATTTTGAGCCTTGTATTGCATGATAGTATAGATTCATGATAAGATGATATAATTGCTTGTTTGGTTAGATTTACCATTTTTCTGAACACTTCTTGCTTTGTGCATTGTGCGATATTAAGTGATAGGAGTTAGTTACTAGATGAATACGTTAAGTCACATGTGACCAGGGTTGAATAATCTCAGAGTGGTGGATTTGACCCTATTGTGCGGCTCTTGTCTGAGTCTAACCGTTGTAGGGATGAGTCCTATACTCGAAGGATTATCCAAGCCTCGTTACATGTGATGGTATTCATGTAGTTGTTCATTGGCATCATGAAGAGTCCTTCAACAGCTGAGGACTGGGTGGGTTCGGGAACCTAGGAAAGCCTAGGATATGCTTCAGAGGGCTAGTAGTATGGTTCAATGAGTACTGGCATAATGGTTTGAGAAAGTGACTTGGATAATTTGGGATGATTGCTAAGGAAGGTATGGATAGGTGTGGAAGTTAGTATTGTGCCCGTACTACTGGAAGCACATGATCCATACTCGAGTCAGTGAGAAGTCTTATAAACTCTAATAAGCTTATGGGAAAGGACCCTTGGTTATGACTGTTGGAATGTTGTATTTCAGATTGGAGATCAACTCTCAGGGAGATAGTTGTAGCACCTGGTTCCCGGTACGTACTCCTTGCTATTTATTTTCTTAAAATAATATATTTTGGCTAGGACTCGGCGAGTTCATGGGCCAACTCGCTGAGTAGGAGTGGGACATGGTACGTAAGTTGGACTCTGGACTCGGCGAGTTGGTCCCCGGACTCGACGAGTCGACTTGGTTGGGAAAAAACCATAATCTGGGTGTTTGCACCCTATTTAAACACTCTATCTTGGCCTCCTTTGTCCCTAACACTTCCAGAGAGCATTAGAGTGAGACCCTAGCCCCCATATTGTTCTTAAGAACTTTCCTATGTGTGCATGCAAAACCCTAATGCTCGGATCTAGGCTTTCTAATCAAACATGCTTTGAATCCAAGACTTCTAATGACTATTTAGATGTAAAAACAATATTGAAACAAATCTAGAATCATACCTCTTGATTCCTTGTTGATCTTGTTGTCATGGAGCTTCTAGAGTCACAATTGTCAGTCCTCTAATGGCTTACAAACACCAATAGCAAGGAGGATGATTTGGGAGAGAGGAGAGGGGAGGAATTCGGCCAGAGTCTCTCTACTTTAGATGGTGTGTCGAATTCCCTCACCCCTAGGGTCTATTTATACTTGTAGACTCCTTAAGGATTACAGCTTAAACCCTAATTGGATAACTTAGACTTTAAGTTAATCCATATCCTTTCCTTGATAACCCTATGGACGATTTTTGGCTTATCCAAGCCCTAGAAATCGTCCATCCTATCTTGGATAAGGATTTATAGTCTAAAGTGTAATTATCAAACAATTGACAGTTTATACCCTCTTATTTAATTAATCTCTTTAAGTCACCAAATTAATTCCAATTAATTCTATGACTTATATTAATCAAATAACTATATATTATTCTTTATATTATTCTCATAATATACTAATAATATTAACTCTCTCTTAATAAATCATCCTATCAAGTTGCTATGGTGAAGGCAACCCAAAAGGACCATGCACAACCGAGTCAAATACTTGCCTAATATAGTTGTAGCCTTAGACACTATTCCAACAGTCTCCCACTTGGATAAGTCTAGTAACTATATGCGCAGGTACATTTCGATTTCTAATCGTAGCTCTCAAAGACGCTATCAAACTCTGATCTAATCAATCTTGACCTTTAGATAAGGGATCGTACAGTCCTCTGTTAGATATCATGCTGACAATACTTTGGAATAGTTCATCTAGCATTTGGTTTCTCGATCTCCGATTTATTCAACTAAGAACTTAATCGAACACATCAATTCAATTCTGACCAGGCCTGGCACTTAAGTCAAATCAAATCATCGAGCGGCCGAGATATCACTTTTTCCTTCTTAGGATAAAAGTTACAGATAAACTTCGACTTATATGCATTTACTTATTCATTAACCAACTATACACAACAATGCATTTTATAACATCGAGTTACCAATGCGTTTTCGCATTATCAATGTACAATCAATTAACCAATAACAAACCATATATCTAGGTTTTAAGACTATATGATATTATCATCTTGCGATCACCCTTTTACTATCACATTCCATAAGGTGATTCCAGCAAGCGCGGGTTTGTTCCAATGCTCAAAACTAGTTCATAAGCACTCATGAACGTTGCAACAATCTTTTGCTATGTCTAAAACCATTTAGACACTCTACACACCTATTCATGACAATCTTCATTCATATCTACTTCCAACATATGAACAATTGTGGACAATTTGAATAATTCGATTATTCCTAATAAACTCAATTATTCTGGAAGTCAAAACATGCAAAGTGAAACAATAGTTAACCAATTAACAGAAGATAGTAACATTACTTATAAATAAAACTCCTTTATTTAATCATAAAATGTCAATTACATTTATCTATTACACGTTTCTAATACTATCTAATCTATGCTAACATCATCCTTCAGCTCGATGCTCCTAGCATGCTGCAAGTGCTTAACCCTACTCAGTCCCTTCGTAAGTGGATCTGCTGGGTTATCTTCCGATGATATCCTCTTTACTACGAGTTGTCCTTCTTCTACACGGTGTCTAATAAAGTGATATTTTCTGTCGATATGTCTTGATCTACCATGATCCCTCGGTTCCTTGGTCAAGGCAACCGCTCCTTCGTTATCACAGAAAATCTCCATGGGCTCCTTTATGGCAGGTACAACTCCAAGATCACCGATGAAGTTCTTTAGCCATATTGCCTCCTTCGACGCTTCGCTTGCTGCAATGTACTCTGATTCGCACATTGAATTAGCTACGGTTTCCTGCTTGGAACTCTTCCATGTCACTGCTCCTCCATTTAGGGTAAAGACCCAGCCCGACTGCGAAAGGTAGTTGTCCCTGTCGGTTTGAAAACTGGTGTCAGTATACCCTCGCACCTTCAAGTCATCACTCCCTCTGAGAACTAGGAACCATTCCTTCGTCCTCCGAAGGTACTTAAGGATATTCTTCACCGCAACCCAATGGGCTTTGCCAGGGTTCCCTTGATATCTACTAACCATGCTTAAAGCGAAGGCTACATCAGGGCGAGTACAAGCCATAGCGTACATGATTGAGCCAACTGTGGAAGCGTATGGAACTCGGCTCATATCAGCTATCTCAGCTTCGGTACTTGGACTTTGAGTCTTACTCAACTTGGCATTGCTTTGTATCGGTAATTCTCCCTTCTTCGAGTTTTCCATACTAAAACGTTTTAGTACCTTCTCTAAGTAAGTGTTCTGACTAAGTCCTATCAGTCTCTTACTTCTTTCTCTCACTATCCTTATTCCCAAAATATAGGAAGCCTCTCCGAGGTCCTTCACAGCGAAGCACTTCCCGAGCCAGGACTTAACCTCCTGCAGAGTCGGGACGTTGTTTCCCATGAGTAATATGTCATCGACATATAGAACGAGAAAGCTTACTACACTCCCACTGGCTTTGACATATACACATGACTCATCTTCGCTTCGTACAAATCCAAACCCTTTGACTTTCTCATCGAAGCAAAGATTCCATCTGCGAGATGCTTGCTTTAGTCCATAAATGGACTTCTCAAGCTTACACACTCTATTCGGATGCTTCGGATCCACAAACCCCTCTGGCTGAGCTATGTAAACATCCTCAGCCAACTTTCCGTTAAGGAAAGCGGCCTTGACATCCATTTGCCAAATCTCATAATCATGAAATGCGGCAATAGCTAGCATCACTCTAATAGATTTTATCTTCGCAACTGGTGAGAAGGTCTCTTCATAGTCAACTCCGGGAGTTTGAGTAAACCCCTTCGCAACTAGTCGCGTTTTAAACGTGTGTACTTTTCCATCCATGTCGGTCTTCTTCTTGAAGATCCATTTGCCCCCAACGGTCTTACGACCAGGCACATTATCAACCAAATTCCAAACTTGGTTATCATACATGGATTGGATCTCGCTATCCATTGCCTCTTTCCATTTTGCAGACTCCGGGCCTGCCATGGCTTCCTTATAGCTATTAGGTTCATCAAGATTTATTAGTGTAATATCACTAATATACGTGTCCCCTTCGGTAGTAATATGAAAACCATA